ACAAATTTGATGAACATGAGTCGAAAGAAATATGAGTTTATTGGGCGTTCAAGGGAATGCAAGAATTCAAGGAACTCAATTCGAATATTCTTGAAAATAAACTCAACTAATCCACTAACGAAATCCCATTAGATGTGGCTCTAAACACCAACCAGCTCCAATCATAAAGTTTTATGCATATTCACCTTTCAAATAAAGCTCAACTGACATGTTCACAATATTCATATGGCACTCATACTATTCACGTCAGGCACTCACAGCACAGCACTCACTCAACCGAGCAACTGTAGTTGGCATCCATTACGAAATGTTATGCATAGCCATTCGTCGCGGTTACTCATCACTCTCTCTCTCTATTTCTCTCTTTCTCTCTCTCTCGCATCATCTCACTCAGTTTTTGATGAGCAATTCGCGGCGTTCCGCTCTGAACTAAATATGCAAGCATCTTCGGGCTCTACGGGTTGTAAAATTTGCAACTATCCATAAAAAAAGACGAGAAAATGAAAGAATGATGGAGAGAGAGACAGAGTGTGAGCGAGAGAAAGGCAACAACCAGGGCAATCGCTCAACCGCAAATCGTGAGTTTTATGACTGATTCTGGCGTTGGCATCTGCTTTGCTCTAAGCACTTGCAATCACATTGCCTTTTTACAGTATTTTCTGCAGTTTTCAGTGTTCCCTTACACCCGCCTGATGAAAGACTTAAAGAGGTGTATTGGCTTTGCGACATGAATGTTCGATTGATGGCTTCAAAATTCCTCAAATTCTTTTTTCTTAGGGCTGGAACTAAAAATTCCTTTTTCTGCTTGACTCAGTCTGCTTTATCGATAAATATCGATTGATATCCTTCCTGCTCAGAAGTTTCTCTAGCAGCGCGGAGAGAGAGAACATTTTCGTTCTCTCTATTCGTTGAACTCAGCAAGTTTTAACTTGATTCATTATTGAGCTATTTTACAGTTAGACCTCAGCTTAAAGGCAGGTTGAATATCCCTATATCTTCTTTATCCGAATTATGAACGAGCATTATGCAGTCGGTTATAAATTGCATTGTTCTAGCTTGTTTATGTTGCTGCATTAAAAACAGTATAAACATGCGCCATGTTGTCTCATCGAAATATTCTCCTTGACCCTCGCCCACCTTGCTACGCTTTGTGCTGTTACTGTTGTTGTTGCTGTTGCTGTTGTTGTTGTTTTTGTCACATGTCAGCGAATGCTCGAAGCTCAAACCGTGCTTATTGCTTGGTTCATTTTGTGCTCAGCGCGTCACTTGCACATTTAATTAAGTTTACGGCACGCTGCACACGTAAAGGACGATGGGACAGGGGACGGCGGGGGATGGGCGGGACGAAGGATATCTGGCTGTTGAGCAGAGGGCAAAAGGGACGCTATTAATTAAATTGCTTTATACAGTTAAGTCGCCAAGCCAAAAACTTTTTTTGTATCTGTATCTGTGTATCTGTATGTGTGTGTGTGTATGTGTGAGTGTGTTTGTGTGCTTGTGTGTGTGTCAACAATCGGAATATTAACGAAGCAACTAATGAGACTTTACAAAAGGCGCGAAACATTCGCTATATTCTGTATCTCTCTCTCTCGCTCTCCAGCTCCTGCCCCCTCTCGCTCACTCATCTCTCTGGCTCTGTCGCAGACAGAAACTAACCGAAAGGCTTATTAAATGTTTGCTGTGTAGCGTATCCACCTGCCAACCATAAGATCAAAGGCCTGCCATTTCGTGAAATCCTTTCGGACTGCCACAAATCATGCATTGCCTGACAGACAGCGAGACAGACACATAGTACGTTCAATTATTGGCCAACTCCATCTCCATCTCCACTAACACTCCACTCCCACTCCCTCTCTCTCTCTCTCTCTCTCTTTCTCTAATGCTAAATCCGCTCAGTCTATCCGGCTGGCTGGCACTGGACCAAGCCTACCTACTTAGCCCTTGTAACATGGGTCGCTTTAATAAATAGCGACAACAAGCAGCACGAATCACTGGCTTAACTGAAGACGACCTTTGAAGAGTATTTGCCTAAGAAAATGCTACTGACTTGAGTCGCCATCTCCTGAAACTCTTTTCAAGGAATTGCCCATGAAATCTGAAGGCAATAAGAGAACGATAGAACAGAAGGAACTGCTGTCTATGCCATATAATAATAATAATTATAAATAATAATGTACATCATATGCATAATTAAGCATTTATTTAGTTATTCCGATTTAACTATAACTACATATAAACAACTTAAACGGTCTTCTGCAGTTACTCTTTGTCTCTTGCATTCGTTAGACAGACAGGCAGAGAGCCAGACGGAGAGACCGACAGAGAGACACACAGGGAGACAGAAAGAGAGACAGATATACAGACCGTAATATGAACAGATATTGCCTGTAAATGTGTTCGTAACACTGTGTGTATATCTCTCTCTTTCTGCCTCCCTGTAGATCTCTCTCTCTCAGTCAGTCTGTCTAACCAAGCAGAACACGAAGAAAAGGTACCAAAGATCATTTCACTTCTTTATATGTGTGCAGCAGCATTCATTTCGTATTTATAGCTGAGTAAAACGAAGTGAGAGTGCTTACAGCAACAGAGGCTGTTCCTATTGGTCAATTCAAGTTCGACTGCAACGAGCTCTACCTGAGGCCGAACTCAACGACTGAGCGCGACGTAGGCTTTGAGTGAAAGTCGCCCTATATAATGGGCAGCACCGGGAGCATTTCTTCAGTCGTCCAGACCTGATGGGGGTCAATCGTAGAGTGCAGTAAAGTGAAGTGAGGTGAACTGAAGAGGAGTGTGATCAGGAAATACTTAGGAGAAATTCTGCGACAAAATACTTGGAGGAAATAGACTTAGAAGAAACTCTGCGACAAAATACTTGGAGGAAATAGACTTAGAAGAAATTTCTCGAGCAAACATTCAAATTCTTAGAAGACATTGTTAGAGGAAACACTTAGAAGAAATATTGAGAGGAAACACTTAGAAGAAATAGATTATATCCTTAGTGGAAGCACATGAAAGAAATATTGAGTGGAAATACTTAGAGGAGAAGAATATGGAGACCACATTTTGCGAATCTTCAGAAGCATCATCTTACAAAATTTATCAAAACAAGCATAGCTTTTGTTTCACTAAATGAATAGTTATTGAGGAAATCATAGAGAGGAATTGATAGTTGTTTCAGTTGTATTCACTGTTTCTGTTTACTTTAATCTAACTGGTTTCTGAATGCCATTCAACTCGCTCTACACTCTACTCTACTAATCCTTGGCTAATCGATTCACTATGGATTTGACTAACTGCTGCTTGTATCCCATATACGCTCTTTGGTTATTTGATCCATATTTTACTTTTATTCGCAGTTTATTCATTTCTCATTTATTCACTATCCGCAGATTTTGTAACTTTTTGTTTTTAATCTCTGTCAACTGCGCTCCTCTGCACTCTTCTTGTTGTACCAGCTCTCAGCATTAATATTCTCACAATAATTTCCATTCCATTTCCTGGAACATCTGTTGCTCTAGTGCAGCCTCACTTCAAAGTTATGAGCTCTCTTAAACAACCCTCGCCTTACGATTTGATACGTCTGCAGAACCCGTTTGCAGTCAGTCAAGAGCAGCCAAGATAAACATATGTAGAGAATGTGGCAGAAGCTCATTAAATATTTAAACCGCTTGCCGTACGTAAATCCAAATCGACTTATATTAAATACGCTCAAAACAAACAGCAGAGAACCGTTAAGCAGCGAGTAGAAAAAAGAGCCAACGGGCATAGAATGTGGAGATCCCAAGTGCAGCAGCAGCAGCAGCAGGAGGAAAAAGCAACAGCAGCAGGAGCAGGAACAGCAGTAAAAAATTCAGTTCCAGCTGGATTCCGTTTCCATTGACAAAGTTAAGAGTTGGGAGTTGTTGGCTCATGCCAATCGGTTTGTGGCATTTACATTTAAGCTGATAAGCAAAGTGCTGCCGCCTGCAAGGGCAGGTGTCACTCACCTGCGTCAGCTGCTGTTGTGCGAGCATCGAGTGTCGCAAGCGTTGGAAATTTACATTTGAGGCACGCACTTTACATTATTAATGCCAGACACTAAAGGTGTCGAACAGCAACAAAAATTAGTTGCCAACGGTAAATTATACCTGCATATGTGTGGGTGTATGTCTGTGTGGGTGTGTGTGTGTGTGTGCCATTTGGCAAATGTATCGCATTTCGCTTGGCGTGTTTGCACATCTCAGAGAATTTTCCAATTTTTGCTGCTAATATTTATTAATCAAGTAATAGCAATACACGCAAACACACACACACATATACGACGTATGTGTGCGCTCGCTTATGAATATATGAGTGAGGCACTTGTGCGTGCATTGTTTTTTTGTTCTTGTTGTTATTTGATTTTTTGCACAAAAATTGATTGGAAATTTATAAGCTAAACTTTTTCACAGCATTCTCTTTTGACTTGGAAAAAAAGAAATAAGAATGTTTGCAGTCGAGCGTAAGCGATAGCATAATACTCGCTGCGTGGGTATGTGGGAATATAATCATATAAATAGAACCATAGCAGTAATGCCCATACCAAAACTCTCTAACCTCTCTAAGAGGTCTGCATTCCTGGGCCTATTTTACATATAATAAGCAATACACAGGCATGAGACCAAGCCAATAGACTCTCTTTTGACTAGCTGGACGAGCATCGGAAACTTTTTCTCTGTGGCTGAAATTTTTCTGTTTTTCGTATCTGCCGCCATTCGCAGCACTTGAAAAGGTCGCCGCTTGTGCGCAGAGTGTGAGTATTAGTGAGTGTGTCTGTGTGTAGTGTTTGGCTATTGAGTTTTCCTATATTGCCTGGCCATATGCTGAATTACAAGTGGAAACTTTAACGTGCTTTCAAAAACAAAAACTTGAACTGGATTTACATAAAAAACTCATTTGATATATACGCAAACCATAGCGAATATATGCATATACATATATGTATATGTATATTGATATTCATACATATGTATATATACAAAGTTGGCTTTGTCACAATTCAGGCTGTCTGTCAAAGTGCGGCTGATAGGGCGCCAAACTAAAGCAAATCATTCAACGTAAAAACCTCGTAACGTGCACATCACAAAAAGTAAGTGAAACAAATATTTAGAAATCAAATAAAATATAAAAAGTAAATAAAATAAAATTCAAATTTATTTGGTAAACAAATTCCAAAACCAAATTAAATACTTTGAATCAACAAAATATTAAAAGTGAAAAATGTATATATATATAAAAAGTTTATAAAAATATACAAAATTTTTGCACAATTTTTTTTGTAAATATATGTCAGACTAAAAGTAAATTTTGAAAAAATTTTAGGCTGTCAATATAAGCAGCAAAAATATAAATCTTAAAAATATTATAAAAGGAAAATTTTGGTGAAAGTGAAAATGTAATAAAAAGTGTTAAATAATAAAAACAGTAAAATTTAAATTTAAAAAAAAATATATATATATTAGGAAACGAAATGTATAAATTTAAAAAAAAAAATGCATTAAAAATAATAATAATAACATATAGTTTATAAAATATATAATAATATATAATTTAAGTAATGTATTACATCGTGAACCTATTTTAATGCTGTCCTACTCTCTACATACTCAGCTCTTTCAACTTGTATTCTCATGCAAAGATCTTTCAATTACTGCCGAAAATAAAAGACCCCAAGACGAACTATGGAGAAGCTATTTGTTAACATTTTGATATTGATTTCTTGTGAGTATATAAAATAAAATTAACATGCCGAAATATTTATTGTGAGCCTGCTGCACACACACAGATGGATGGCTGTTGGGGTCATGCCAGGCAATGCTCATCAGAGATGGCGATGGGCTCCTCAATGCCACAGATGCAAACGGCATCAACAACAACAACTACAATTACAACAATGAATCGGTAATGCCTGTTTTGGCCACAGCCTTGGGCACTGCAGCCATGTCCGATAAGCAACAAGTTAAAAATGCGAGCGAAGCTGCCGCAGCAACTGCTGCCGAGATAGCAGCAACAACTATTGCCGACAAGGATAAGGACAAGGACAGGGAGCTGGAGCCATCGAGTGATTTGCCTGCTCATTTACATCGCAATAAGCGTCGCATGTCTGCCGTAGAGGCCTTGCATCATGGCCGACGTCACTATCCACCAGCAGCTGCTGCACTACCATCTGAAGCAGCAGCCGTACCACCTTATGTCTATTATAATAAGATGATATCGCCGGATGGCAAGCAGGAGCTGAAGGAATTTCAATTGCTGTCACCGAATATGGTCATTGAGAGCGTGCAGCATGATATGAATTATGGGCCAGCTGCCGATCTGGGCGGCGGCGTTTTGCTGCTGAATTCCGATAACAATTTGAACGGGCATATTCGTGCTTTGGCACCCAAGCCACCCAGGCATCATCACAAACACAAATCATCGCTGGCCCTGCCGCCCTTTCTGTTCCTGCTGCAGCAGATGCTGCAGCCGAACCTGAACATCGAAATGGAGCCCACACTGCCGCAGCCACAGCCTCGCAGCCGCTTGGAGACGCCTCTCTATCAGTTCCTTGACAGTGCCGTGGACAATGCTTTGCGCAATAATCATGAGGTCTATGAGCACTTCATAAGCGATCACGATAATGAGCTCAACGAGAAGGACAAGGACAAAGAGAAGGACAAGGATATGGAGAAGGATAAACTGAAGGACGCCATTGACATGCTGCCCATGCAAAAGGCAGCCGAGAAGGCCAAGCCCAAGGAGGACGAACTGCTTGTTAGCTGTCCCATACATCATGAGCATCGTACCAACATCAATGGCGATATGGTCAACGATGATGTTGTCCTGGTCAACGAGTGTCACATTGTCTAGGCATCAGCATAATTAGTCTTGTCTCAGTGTCTATTCGCAGCCTCATCATCCACAGTAGGAACCGATAGTCTAGGTTAGCTTGAGTTGGTTAGTCTTTAGCTGAGTTAGCTTTATTTTTGGCCTACTCCAGATGTAACAAAATTTTAGTTAGGTTTCAGTTTAGTTAAGCTTGTGGAGTAGCATTCAATCAACTCTCCACACTGACCATTCGTGTGTTCTCAAATTGTTTAGAGTTACTTTTTTTTTGGGTTTAACAAGTTCTACACTTGATGTCAAATGAAAAAAAAAAATAAATAAATAAAAAAAAAATGGGAGTGGTCTTCCAGAAAAACGCTCAATATTATTTTATGATTTTTTAATTAAGTAATTCTTAATGATGGCTTGCCATATGAAATTGTGCAATTATGTCTTTAGGCATTGCTTATATATACTTTGTTCAATATATACAGCTAATATTCCAAGTAAAAAATAATCATGGCTAGTCTTATTTGATTTGCAGTCTTATATATAAATTTGTATATATATTTTTTTTTTATCTTCATATAGAACCTCGTAAATCTTTTATCCATAAACTTTGTTTCAATTTCAATATTTACAATTCTTTAATATATAGAATAATCATATGACCGCCGAGATCCAATGGTTTAATAGTTCAAGCAAATATCTAACGTTGCTTTTTCAAATTTTTAGATTAGTAAAACTGTAGTCTATAAATGGAGTTACATTTTACTATAGAAAAAAATATTTTACGGGTTTCACAAATAATTCAGATATGATACAGATACACACTTACTTTGTTCAATATATTTTAGTATTTAAACTTTTATGTAACATTTCCCAAAAAAAAAAAAAAAAATTAATTTACAGCTTTGACAACAATTTTTAAGCAGAATGAAAATACAAGATTCTGTAAAATATCTACACAGTTCGTGCATTAGGTTGACAACATTGAGATATAAATAGAAATTTATTCTGTGCGCGAACTCAGCAATTTACACTTCAGCTTGAAGTTAACGCGCAATGAAATCAGTTTAAAGTCCTTAAAATTTGTGTATGTCTGTCTAAGGATTCAGCTTAAGCAGGTTCCTCTTGCTCTAATCCTTTTCTCTGTCAAATCATTGACTTCAAAACTCACTTAAGTTTTTCTCAGAATTCCTTTCATTACGTATAAGAGAGCTGGCTGCTTGAGCTCGTTCGTGTGCGAATTTATGTCTCCTTATTTTTCATTGCTGCAAACTTGTTTCAATCTAGCTTAAAATAAAAGCAGAACACGGCGAGGGCCTTCAGCCAATAGCCATGTTACCTGCATGTTCACCTGTTGCTCTGAATGCCTTGATAATAATTTCGCTATGCGTATTTGCAGTTAAATCTTGCTGCTGCTCTTCAGTTAGAGTAGATGAAGAGAATAGCATATATATATATGAATATAGTCAGTTTTTATGTTAATATCAGTTTTTATGTTAATATCAGCCTCATTTCTGCATAGCCTTATACATTCATATATACTCACGCACTTATGTATATATTCATATCTTGCTTAATCACTCAAATCAAGTCTCTAAGACATCCATTCGCCAGTGTCAAACTGTAAGATTACATACATAGATGTCTTGTGGTTAGGGTGGTTAGAATGCTAAAATTATCTTGTGGCTTTCTAAATATCATAAATAATTAAAGAACCAAATTCAATTTGAGCAAACATATCAGTTATTAACTGAAAATCCTCTGAGAAAATCCAAATCTTAACTCAACTAAAATGGCCCAAATGCAGAAATGTCACATAAAAATCAATTTGCATGTGTGCAGCTGTCGAAATTTGATATGCTGCGTGAGCAAATAGTGTACACTGAGCTACAAGCAAATATATTTCACACACACACACACACACAGAGTCACAGGTTACTTGCGCCTGAGGCAAAAGTTTTGCCTGCTGTTGCCTGCTGAAAGCTGCTAATTTCTAATACAATAAAACTAATGTAAATTGCCACTTGACGTCTCCAAGTGTGTGTGCATGTGTGTGAGTGTGGGTGTGTGTGTGAGTGTGCAATACATGTACAGTAAATGGAGCACATAATGTGCTGAAAGTCGAAAGAGCATTGAAAGACAAACCCCAGCCAAACCGAATGCCAAAGCGAATGTCATGGATGCTTTAGCAGCAGCATAAATACAAATTTGCTTTACAAATGCACAGCAGCAAAAGCGGGAGAGGTGGCACATATATATGTGTGCGTGTGTGTGTGTGTGTGTGCTTCAGTTGATGTGTGAATGTTGCCTTAAGTGTACATTCAATGTACATAAGTGCATACAAATACGCTAGGGTAAGCCATTATACATAAGCTTATGTAACAAACACGTTTGTGTGTGTGTGTGTGTGTGAAAAGCAGAAAAGTGCAACGCAGCATTCGTAAATTGCGTAGCTGCTCTGCCATTGTCCCTGGGGTGTTAACTGGACTGTAAATGTGAATGTATGTGCGAGAGTGACGTGACGCCCCCTGCCGCCCCCCTGCCACCCAATGCCACGCCCCACTAAGCCAAGTCAACGCTTGGCCATATTGGATTGGATTGGATATATATGTATATGTGTATGTATTGCTTTCTCTTATATCCATATATTTATATACAAATTGTAAATAATAAATGCAGTTGACAATGCATCACATTTGACTCGTTGACTCATAGCAACAGCAGCGAATGGCAATCCCAATCGTTCCAGCTGGGGTCGCCAACCTATGATGGGGCTGGGTATGATGGGGGTTAAAGTATAACAAGTGCATTAGCTAGAGAAATGCATGGCTTATGATTTCAATGACAGCAGCATCATCATCAGCATTAACAGATAATAGAGTACTCGGCAAACCCTTCAAATGCGCCCATAAAAAAAAAAAAGAAAACAAATGAGAAAACGAAGAAGAAGAAAAACTACTAATGCTACAACTATATAATTTGATTAAATTTGCTTTTGAGTAGGAACCGAAACTGAAATGAAGACAACTTTTATTTGTAATTTTGTTTTTTTTTTCTCTTCCAACACAAATTTATGGCAAGCGGAAGTAAAGTAGAAGTGGGAGACGCAGAGGGAATGTTGTAGCAGGGGATGGGGTAGCCATAAGCAGGCCATCAGACAAAGCGTTGCTAGGGCTTCTATTGCCATTCGGTTAAGTTGTTGATACTTTGGCTGCTGTTGCTATTGCTGGCTCTGTAACGGTTATGGCTGTCATTTGGCAGCTTGTAATTATGTTTTTGCCACAAGTTGTTGCCACACCCATTCACCCACTCGCCCATCCATTCCTCCATCCTCCTTCCCCCTTTTTCGTTGAAAAACTTCTTATCGAGATTTCATAGTCAAAAACCATGACGGCAACAGCATCAAATTCAATTGAACTGTTGAGTCAGCGACAGGCAGTCAACTATAGACAACACAGGCATTCACAGAAGTCACTAAGCAAATGCCACGCCCACTCGCACTTGAAGTCCATTAAAGCTAATTTGCTAAGCAAAGTTTTCCATGGATGAAAATGGCAAATATCAAGTATCAGCAAAATGGTTTAATAAGCAGCCTCGAAATTTGTTTACTCCCAGATTCTTCAAATATCATTAAAGAACTTTTAAAGTGGAAATTTAGATTATATTATGGGCTGTAGTATAGATAAAGACTTAAGCTTATAAATGTGCTTGTTATGCTTACGATTTTACTTGGTTGTTTAGATGAAGATTTTGTGTCGTTTTCTTGTTGTTTTGCTGTCGCTTAAGCTGCTGACCCAGAGATGGCGCTAAGATGAAAGGAAAGCCAACTGAAATATAGTTATTTCATACGGGACAAGGGAAGGAGATGAGAAATTCTAGCTGCTGCTGTGGGAAAACTTTCAGTTTGAGAGAAGTAGGGGGAAGTACGAGATTTCATATAATTGAAATATATATGTACATATTTATCAAGATATATGTATGAAGTACTCTAAACTTTAGCTTCTTAGGCTTAATTTTTAAATATTTTGAGAGCTTAAGAAGTCAGTTCCTTAGCAGCTGGAATTGCAGTTTCTTTGTCTGTTTATTTTATTTTATTATTTATTTTTATTTTTATTTTATTTTTTTTTTTTTTTAATGATCAACAATGGGTGCTTAAGCTAGTCTTTCCATTTAATATGTTTCTACTTAAGATGATGTTAACTTGTATTCATATTATTCGTAGGTAACGCAAATTAAAATGCTTTAAGCTACTGGCCAACAGATATCGCTAAGCTTAAGGACAAACACAAATAATCACATTTTTGTCAAAACAAACTTGGAAAAATAATCCAACAGTGTATATACTGTGCTACAGATAAGCCTCTAGCTTAATGGCTGTGCTCTTATATAATAACAGTATATATATAACATAAATATGTGTATGCAGAGAAACATATAAGTATTTCTTTACATTTACATGAAAAAAAATTCAACATTGAAGTTATCATAATGAAATGATAGAATATTAAATTTATTATTATTATTATTTTTTAATAAATCTTTTTATATATAAATATACCAAAAATGATTTATATATATATTATTATATATTATATAAAAATGAATAATATATATTTTATATTTCTATAGACACTATATTAATAATAAAATAATAATCTAATCAAATATATTTAAATATAAAAATATGTATATCTTTTTTTTTTTCTATATATTTAATCTTTATATGCCAATTTTGATATTTTTTTTCTAAAAAAAAATAAATTTATGTATTAAAATTAATATATTTGTTTCTGACTTTCTACAGTTGATATATATATTTATACTTTCATATATAGCCAATGTATATACATATATACTTGTATTCCAGTAACCTTTTTCAATTTTCGGCCAACAAACAAAAGAAGCGAAGGGTATTGTAAAATTTTCAGCCTGTCAGCCAGCACGAACTCTTTCATATTTATAGCTATCATATGTCTGTATGTATGCATTTCAATATCTGTGTATGGGATCCCTTTGTAGGTTCATCAGGAAGCTATATGGGCTGCCGTAGGTTAAGTCGCCCTATATACATACATATATGTGTACCCATTTTAATATATATGTGTATATATGTAAATATTTATATGTCGTCCTGAACGTGTGCTTTTCATTGCTTTCACGGCTGTCATACACGGCGTATGCGTCATCTGACAAAAGCATTATGCAAATTTGGGCGCATCAGCTTCAATTGCAGGACATACACACACACACACAAATCAGTCACACGCACTCGACAGCTTGAAAAAGCTAATGTTATTTATTTTGCTTGGCATCTGGCAATCCAAGCCAAACAAACAGCAACAAAAAGATAAGAGTAGCTGAGTGAAGAAAAATAAAAAA